AGAAAAAAAAAAAAAAAAAAAAAAAAACCTGAAATTTGGGTCATGATTATGAAGACAAATATTTTGTGGTCTAAAAACTTCAATAACTTTTGCAATTTTGCTCCAAATAACTTGATTATTGGTTCATTCAAAAGCTTAACAATTCTTCTTTACACGTCATAAAGGTAGTAGTGTGTTATCTGGTAATTTAAACTCTCTACATATGTTCAAACAGTTTGGAACAAAACGCTCTGTAGGATCTTTTGCAGACCGGCTACAGATTGAATGTCTGAATGATAAATGTAGAGGAAAGACTCACCTTTTTTATGAACTTAAAATCGAGTGATTTGATTCAGAACTGCAAAAGTTATTGATGTTTGAAGATTTCAAAATCCTGTCTTCAAACCATGGGCCAAATTTCAGGTATTGTTACAGGTGGGTTTTTGATGATTCTCAGCCTTTATTGTTAGTACATTAACCAATATCTGTGTGTAAAATACAAAAACATACTCATCATGACGCCCCAACATCTAGGAACAAGGTGCATATTTTTTCAGATTTTTAGCTCTCTTCCTGTTGCCTCAGGAGTTTTCTACGTCAGTAGTTTTCTTTACCGCCCGGTAAAGATTACATTTTGTGTAGTGTTTGAACAAGTCTAATGTCAAGTTTTCAGCTTTGAACACTCCTAGTCTATACCAGTAATATTTATGTAGTGCAACTTTAAAACAAAAAAACAAAAAAACAAGGGCAACGACATTTTTTCTCGAAACGGCTGTATATATATCCACGTAGAACACCACCCCTGATTTGGGATGATCTGCAATTTGCTTATCGGCCTTATGATAGCTTGTGATTGCATCCCAGTTAATTCGATTCTTGGCGTCGGAGAACTCTTGACCCTACATATGTAGCCTTTTGTTGTATCATTTCAGTCACATTCACAGCCGCTTGGACACGCTGATGTTCAAATATAAGCTCAGGCGAGTCAAGCCAAGCCAACACAACACATTGGGGTCAATTTAGGGTGATCGTTGAGTTAACGGGTTGGGGTATTTTTGTTTATGCGTGATTGTTTAAATGGCACACAACTTACGCGAGCTTGAAGATTATAATCAGGGGAGGGTGCAGTCCATCCACGTTACTTACACAAATTCCTTCAACTATTTTTCAAAGTCCCGATCTCATATCATCTCCAGCATCCGATAGACCTCTAATTTGTCATCACAACCACAAATAAATCCATGGCATTCATAGAAAGTGTCCTTCGTCTGAGCGGTAAACCAGCATACCAGCTCTGCATCAAACCTCATGGTTGCGTCATCAACGGGGCTAGGGGATTTTTCAGCCTTCCTTCATTTCCACGTTCTACTCAAACTAATCCTCATGAAGTTGGTCAGGTCCAAGTCAATGACTTGACCGCTCAAGACCGATATCGCAAGCGAGGAGATGTTTTGATTTATAAAGAGACGAAGCGCTTGCCGTAAGATTTCAACTGTGACTAGGCCATCATGATCTCGTTGAGAGACTGATATACAGATGTTTCTATTTGCTTGCCTTTTGAGCAGGTATTCCAAGAAACAACTCTACACTGTGATCGCCGACGTAGAAGCGTATCCACAGTTTGTTCCCTATTGTCTCGGATCAAACCTCATCAGCTATCAAGCATTGAAAGGAAGCGGAACGGTGAACAATTTGAACCACGAGGCCAAACCATGGATGCATGGTGGTTACGCCGGGGAGACGCACCTCCTCGAGCAAGAGCTTGTGGTTGGTTACAAAGCGTTCGAGGAGCGTTACACAAGTCAGGTAGAGTGTCGAAAATGGGAAATGGTCAAAGTGAATCACATTTCTAATCTACTACATTCTTAGAATATAGTGAGCTAACAAATATAAAACGTGATTACAGGCAACCGCATGTGACTCGCCGCTATTTAAATACTTGACTTCGACTTGGACCTTCCGCTCACCTGAAGAGATCTCGTCCAAGACACTTCCTACTAGAGATGATGATTCAACTTATGTCTCCCTACAACTCGCCTTCGCCTTCGCTAGTCCCTTGCATGCAGCTGTAGGAGAATATTTCTGGAAGAGTGTTAGTGAAAAGATGGTCCTTGCTTTTGAAAGAAGGGTTGAAGAAGTCTACGGTAAACCGATCCAAGAGGCAAAAGAAAGTCAGCTTAGTCAAGTCAGTTCACCTCAAATTGGTACTTCATTCAATGAACCAGTCATCGGAGTACAACAATGATGGGTATCACGGTCTGGTTATTTGTGATGCGTATTTAGCGTTCTTTTTGTCTTCAGTTGTTTTTTGGCCGGTCGTTTCGCAATATTTTTTTCAATTCCTTCTCCTATTATAAAAGACATCTGTTCAATCTATTTCCAGTGTCACAAACAGGAATTCGCGCATGAGATGATGTGCGTACGTAGCTTTTCAGAGATGCTTTGTCAATTTTTTTACTGTCTTGAATGTGTTTTATGTCTGAAAAAAATGTATTATTTCTCATCTCATTGATCTGGACTTCGTGATAACTCCGTTGAAGAATGCTCA